AGGGCGGTAGACAGCCTAATTTATTTAGCGGTCAGCCCCCACAATGCAGCTTCTCCACCAGGAAGGCACACTTGTGCCAGGCAGGGCCCTGGGACTGCCTCTCGAACAGAGATGCCCTTGCCGCCTTCGCGCTCTAAAGGGAGAGAATGATAAACTTCTCTCCCAGTGTTTAGGGAGGCTAACCCTTCATCTCCAATATTACTTATTAATTTGATTTATGGCTCCTTTATCTAAATAATTGAACAAATACACACACTTAGATTTCTCAGTTTAGCAACTAGGTAATGCAAAGAAATCACAAGCCTTATTCTTTATAATGTCATTAGTTTACACTGTATCTTAATATCAAACATCATAAAGTCATCTGATACCCTCTGTTTTAAAAGCTGGAAAACGTGTACGAATACTTCAAACTTTCCCAAGCATGCATGTGCAACACATGATAAAGAACCCACTTCTGGACATCTCACGTAAAAGATGAAACAGAAAAACAAAGTAGAAGTAAAGAAGTTCAAATTAAGTAACAACAGACCATAAACAAAGCCCTTTTCTCCAGACTAACCCTGGATTTCTATTTGGAAAGCAGACTTGCATCTGAAGGAAAACGTGGTGGTAAAGCAGAAATATATATCACATTTTCAAGCTATCATATCATTTCTCATCTACTAGTTTGTTGAAGGATGACTGCAACATGAGAAAAGTTACGGATGATTAAAGAATAATATGCTAAATAAGATGCATCTCCTTGTAAGGTGACTAAGAATAATAAAATAAAAAAACAAAAGTCACAGTAGTTTCCTTTTTTATCTTCTTTTAAAGAAAGAAAAGTACCCACACAAACTGTCACTCCAGCTGAAGTTGGGTAAGGCTGATATTCTCTTAAATGACAACCAGAATTATAAGACATATTTTCTTGTGTTGCTTTCACCCATTAGGTATTGCTTCAATCTCTTTTTGACTCAAGAAAATCATGGTACCTATGATGCAGAATAAAAAAAAGTCTTCTAAAATTAAAACCCAATACCATTTCACACATCCTATCAGTCCCTCTCTTGTTGTCAGATGTTGCAATGCTACAGTTTTTCATGTCCCATCTGGGCAAACCCGTCCCAAGTAAAACACCTTTACCAGTGCTCTTTCTCGCGCTCACAGAAAAATCTGTAAGTGGCTGGCAAAAATATGCGTGCAGGTTCTGTAAATTTATTTAGAGACAGAATAAAAATTATCTACACTCTCTATCCCTAGGAAGCCACAGATAAATAATGAAGAAACCGTAATGCAAATATCATATCTCACATATGCATGCATGTAAATCAAAGTACAACTTTCATGCAAACTAGATAATGCACTTCTAAATGTACTTAACTAGGATATATATGCTGTCTCTGAGGAAAAAGAGAGAAATTATGCCACTAATACCATGACTGTCCAAGGCATCCTCAAAGGATAAAGAAAGAACAAGAAAACTGGAGAGGGAACAGAATGGCACAACACCAAATTTCTGTAAAAAAATAAAAGACAACACACAGCTTAGAAATATGAATTGCAAATGAAGATGGAGCCCACAAAAACAGCAGAATTCTGTAGACTGCTGCAAAGACATCATCATCAAGATTTGTAACACTATCTTCCATATGCTTGAAAGGAACAAGGTTGAAGAAAATAAAAGCATGCTAAACAAGGCTATGGACTGTCAAATAGACAGAAACCAAGTAACAAGAGTAAAAGAAGAAAGCACAGTTCAAGCTGTAATACACAAAAAGAAGCCCTTCCAATGAGAATGAAAAATACCCACAATACACAACAGAGGAAATTCTTTATAAATCACTAAAATTCATTAAGCCAGTAAGACACAGGGAATTACAAATCTTATCACTCCTTGTCTGCTGCGCTTGTCTTCATCAAAAGCACAATACCCTTACTTTTTTAAACTGCAAGAGTCGACCTCAACATGCTCAACAAAACCAACTAATGGGAAAGACAAATGTAAAGAGATGCTATCACTCCTAATGTTACGAAGTTAGGATTGACGAAGTAATAAGCTGAGCTGAGCAACTGTGGTAACAATGTGAAGCCGTTTCAGAATTCAAATCAAAATGCTGTCTTCAGTTAGGAATTTGTAAAAGCCCATACTTGTACAAAAAAAAAAAAAAAAGGAAAAAAAAAAAAAAAAAAAAAAAAAAAAAAAAAAAAAAAAAAAAAAAAGAAAAAGAAAAAAAGGAAAAAAAAAAGATGCCAGAAAGCCATAGTGAAGAGTTTAAAGAGAGATATGGGTAAGAATTTCTCCCCTTTTATGGCATATCAAGAAAATCTGCATTGCCTGTTGTTGTTTTAAACCTATTTTCCTTTTCTTTTTTTAAATCAACATCTTGTCTACTTTGACTTGCCTCAAAACCTGATTCAACAGGTATGAGAACCACAGGTTTCTGACAGTCATATGGAAAACTAATTAAAATACTGAATAAAAATTATTTACTCTTAATCCTTCACTTTGTTACACCCACACAAGAATGAGGACATTGCTGTCCTTAGCAAGAAAATCCAGCTTTTTTTTAAAAAAAAACTTGTTTTGCTTTTGTTAACAACTACTACATTCTAAGAAGATGTAAGTATTATGAAAAAAAATAAATTAAGGTTTCCTTTTACTGATGTGCTATATCAGTTAGAAAGATCTTGTGACCTTCCACAAACAGACCTCAGCAAAACTTAGAAGAAATACAGGATTAAAGTACTTTCCTCCATCACCTCTCTGTCCCAGAGGACCCGGTGCACCAACACCACAACTACTCACACTTCTGAAGATAGTGTAGAATTCTGTGGGAAAAGGGCACAAAAAAATCTCTTGAAAATCAAGAGTCTAATGACCTCTTCTATGTTAAATAAGGACATTTAGGTGCACTGTAGTAAATAGCAATTATCTATACCCTCCACACTTTAAAAAAAAAACCATAATCCACGAGATAAAGCCACACCTCTTTAATTTCATAATTTTACTGCCCTTACATACAAGGTTTAATGTGAAGTTCTACCTTACCAAAAACTTTCGTACCACTGTCATGCTTCACCTCATTGCTTAAAACCCTGTGAGTAAAAGGCCCTCCTGCTTTGCTACTCACACATGCAACCTACTAAGCACTATATTTAAGAAAATGGGTATGAATAATGGTTTGCTTCTCATCAGATGTTCCAGGTCACAGGTAAGCTAAGGCACTAGAAGCCTCCTCTTCTATGGGAAAAATTCATTAAATCCTTCATCACAACTCTGTGGATTTGCTCCCTTCCACCACCCAACACAATCAGAGACAACAGAGAGAACCTCCCATGGTTATTAACAATTTTGGGGCAACAGCGTTGCGGCTGAGTTAGCACGTTCTCTAATGTTTGAGTTTTATATGCCAAAAGATTTAAGTTTTTCTAAAGTTGACAGCACGGAAGATTATGAGATACCACCACGCAGCCTTAACACTAAATTCAACTATTTGTTAAAAATTTTGGCTTGTAGATACATGGGTAACCGTGGTTGTCATGTACAATTGCAGCTGAGACACGACTGTGTTAAGGAAAAGATACAAGGTGCTGCCTGATTGTTAAAGGGCTCCTTTCATTCCTGTAGACTTCACTGTGCTGTAACAGTGGTGATGGTTTTGCTGTGAAACCAGGGTGTATGTCCCAACACCCATTAGGTCTAGTGCTTTTATATGTGGGCATGTCTGTAACACACACCAACCTTTCTATCTATACCTGTAGCTAACACTTTTATCCTGTCCTATCCTATGAACTTTTAGAGATATACAATTCTTTATTTGTTAAACTTATCAGGCAGCCTGGTAAGAGTTCTACATGCAAGTGAAATAGTTCTGCACATTTAATATTTAGTGGCTTCACTTCAGTGCATTACTGCCACCAAAGTGCAGAGAGAAAGGAGTGTCGGAAGGAACCAGGGCCTGCCTGTGCACATGAGCCAGTCTGCTCTCAGAAAAGAATGAGAGCAGTAAAAGATGCTACCATTTTGCTTTTGTATCAACACATTTATCTGGTATCACCAAGAAGTGGAACAAGCAGTCTCACTGATGACTTAACTCAGAATCACAGAATTTCTGGTTGGAAAAGGTCTCTGGAGGTCATCTATTGGCAACACTAGATAGGGCCAGACAGGGCTTTGTCTAGTACAATCTGGACAACTGCCAAGGGTGGAGATCCCACAGACTCTTTGGGTAACATGTTCCAGCGCTGCACTGCCCTCCTGGTGAAGAGCTGCAGCAATTATTAAATTTTTCCTGGAACCGTAAGGATTGCTTTGTCCCTTTTACCACTGAGTTCCTAACATTGATTATGTTGGCTACCGACAACTTCTGTTGAAGTGTGTCAGACAGGTAAAAAACCATTACAGTCTATCAGATCTCATGAGATGCTCAGCATCCTTTCAGAAGCAGCATTTCTAACTTCTGCTGAAACCACTGAGATTAGAAGGCAGCCTACATATCTCAAGATTGATTTGTCAGTTTAAATCCCCTACAAAAAGTCAAATTCATAATGTGAGAAGAAAAAGAATGCATTAGTGTATTACAGTGCTGCACAGTTTATCTGAATAAATGTTGTGCATTAACAGCGTTGTCAGCTTCTAATTAAAAAGCAATCATGAAGACAAACTATTTTATTGTATTAGCTTTACTATGCAGTAGGTACAGACAAAGAAAATATTTTCTACTACTGACCTTAGCAGTTTTTGGCATAACTGCCTTTCCTTCCAGAGTACTACTATACTTGACTTCTCAATCTTTTCAAAACTTAGCTTGAAAGAAAGTAACACAATTATAATGCTAACATGTTAAAAATCACTGATAGTATTTTTCATCACCACACTACGGACAGAACAGTTTCTTAGTGTGTTAGGAAGACAATTAAAAGAATTTTTGACCAGCATTTTAAAATAAGATTTTTCTAAAGCTACCGGACTTAACTAACTTCAAATCTCTGAAACAGTCAAGCAATACACGTACCTGCAATCGGAATATTCTGTGAGACTGACAGCTGTACATCTCCAGTCCCAGGTGGCATGTCAATTACTAAATAGTCCAGTTGACCCCAGTCAACCTAGAAGATGACAATAAAAATGTATGTTGGAGGTTTTAAGTGTTTTTATTTAAGACACTTTATAGGAAATAAGGACTGCAATAAAACACAATGTAAAACAAGTGAACCACGGACAAAAGAATGATACTGAGATGCCCTTTTAGTCACACTTTCAGTACAAGATCAAGACATTATTTTTCTAGGAGATACAATCTTTGCTGATCACTCAAAACTACGAGCATAACTTTATTATTAACTTTATGAGCATAATCCTTATTGAATTCTTTCCCCAAAAAAGGTAGCAACAACTTAATTTAAGACTTTTATTTTGCAGCTGCTTAATCACAGCTTAGAAGCAAATGTTAGGTAAAATTAAGGCTAAAATTCTGGGTTTTGTGCAACAAATACGGCTCAGGAATTGTTTCCATTAATTTAAAACCAATTTTGAAATGACAGATAAATCTTTAATAATCTTCTTCTGGTTTATTGTTGCAAAGTCATTCATACATAGAGAGCTATCAGTACTGAATTTTTTCCAGGAAAAAGAGCTGTTGGGAGAAAAACAAACAAACAAACAACAGATTTTGTTAAATGAAAATCACCAGATATAATTATACAAACTCACAACATACATATGACAACACACAATAAAAAAAGTTTACTGGTTGCTAGGCATCAAATGAGAGTGACCATTAATATCTGTTAGGCTCAAATGTGAGAATGCTTTGATTATTTACATTCTTTACCAGGACAGATTTCCAGGAGAGCCAAGTAACTCTCTCTAGAGCACTGCATACTGCAGTGCATGTTCTCTTCATGAGAACAGAAACAGTCCTAGGTCTACTCTATATAAGGTAAAGCCAAGCTATACTTTGCCTAAACATTTCCCAACAGTTCAACTAAGCTTCAGCAGGTCCTCGATTCAATTCTGACATGGCGGAGGTTAGTACCAGTGCACTCTTACTAGCCAGCAATAATGATATACGGTCTTTTGTCTCTGCAGTACAGAAGCTTTAGAAATCACAACCACATTAAAAATAAAGACCCACAAATGTCTCCCCCTCATTTTTCCCTCCACACAGACATAATGCAATTATATGGTATGCTTCTGATTCATACAACAGATATAAGATACAACGGTCTCTGAGCTGCTTTAACACAGGAGAACACCAAACAAGAGTAGGATTTTACTTTCTCTTTTATTTTACACATTCCCTCAGAGTCATTTTAACAGCAAAAACAACTAACATTTTGCCCGTCCCCCAGTTATTGTCCTGGAGTGTTAGACCCTGTCAGGGGAACACTCATGCGTTTTCATTCGGTTCCTGTACAGATGATGATCTTCTGGGGAACCACAAGCGATGTTAAATCCAGACCACTAACCCAATGTAGCACTCTAGTGAGAAATGGAATTTTTCAAGGCAGACTGATGAAGATGAAAGATTTCGGAGCACTTATGGGAGAAGGAGGATGGGGAAGGTTAGTTGCAAATTCTAACTTTAAACATCTAAATTAGGGACTCTCAGGCACACCCCCCTTTCCTCATTTTCTATACAAAGGCTCCAGGAGCACTAAATGGTGCCTAAGACAGTCTAGCTAAACAGGAAACGCTACTTATGTTAACCACAGCAAACACTACACTTTACTTTTCCACATTTAATATTGATCTATATTATCTATAATATCTGTATTATTTTATAATATCTATATTTTGTCAACAAAAATGACATATACCTAGCAGATTTCTAAAAGTAATTAGCATTCATAATCATATTGAAACTACGTAACCCCAAAGAAAAATTACATGTATGTGCAAAAATGTATGTACTGAAACATAAGCATGGGGTAGAGAAGCCAGTTTATCTAAAAAAAAAAAAAAATCTGGTTTTTACCTTGTTTTTCTTAACTAATCTTGCTTAGTTATAAAGCAAGATAAATGCCAGTGCTAATGAATGCCTCCTTTTCCAGTGAAAATTACTTTGCTCACCTGAACTTTAAATTTCGTTGTTTCTTAATTAAAAATTAACCATTATAAAGGTGACAAACTGAAATTATACAGATGTTAAAAAGTAGCAGTAGTTTACAACATGAGTAAAGTCAAGTTCCTTAAAGATTCGCAACTGAACACACTAAATAGTTAAGTGCATAAATCTCCATTTGCAAAACCGAATCTTTCATAGTAATCACAACCATTTTGAAATGCTAAGGTATAGAGGGTTTTACTTTTTGAAAAGGATTAACTCAAAATACCTTTCTCCCCCCATGTCTTCATAAAGGCTGACCCTGGCATCTTTTGTCGAGTCCAAATTTACAAGCCCAGCAATCATATTTTCCTTCCTTAAATACTTCTACAGAAACTATGAATAAACTGGTTTTTTGCTTTCTGCCTTGCAGCAAGATGCAGTCCTGAAACACATCTATGAGTGGCATAGCACTATTATCATTCTGACACAGTTTCCAATCACTTTGTCTGCCAAAAACACTTGCTTCTTGAAAAAACTTGGATATTGAGTAGTTTTCAGCCCTTTTCTCCACGAGCTCAACTGCAAGTCCTTTTAGGCACAGCACTGCCTCATGGAATAGTGCAAGACAATCCAAACCCCACCTTTATCAGAGGTAACTGGAATAGCTGTTTTCTTCCCATAGCTAAAAACTGTCTGGTTTTGCATATACTTGCTGGCCCTAACTTCAAGCTAGCTCCTCTTGTGGAACATGGTGACTTTCTGGGCCTGTCCTCTAGCTTTTCTTTTCACTCCTACCAGAGGTTCTGCTTCTCCAACCTCTTCAAGCACTAGTCTCCTTTATCAGGCTCCACATGATCCTCCTACCTAGCAAGCATTACACTTCCCCAAAGAAAACATCTAGACCTATTCTACTACTATGTGGAATGCTAACGGAGAAGACCTCAAAGGCCAGTGCTCAACCCTTTCCTAGGTGTTCAGTTTTGTGGGGAAGCACAAAGCAGTTGCTGCTTTTCTAAGCAGAGGTAGCTGCCTTGGTAAAAACATCTCCATGTAGATCCTTTAAAGTAAAAGAATGCTTTTGTAAATACCTTACTGCTTCAAAAACACACAAAACAACTGTTGCTCGAGAAGTTACTTTCAAAATTTACCACATACAGTAGAATGGGAGAAGGGTACAGAAATCAGAGGGCACCAGAGCTTTCCGCCTCAAGCCTCCTTAGTAAGTGACCCCATAACAACACAAAGAACTTTGAACATGCACTTTCTGGATTGTCCTATTAGTAATGAATTTTATTAAAGTTATAGACCTCTGAAAACAGAAGTTAATAATGGAATCTTAAGCACATGGTGAATCTCAAGGTAAAACTCATTGCTAGGCAACAGGAAAAATGCTCTGTTAACACATAGTGCAATTAGATTATAATGCTTTACTTAATTTATGGCACTGAAACCATCCTATTTCATATATTTTCTTCAAACTCATGGATTGAAAAAAAGAAATGAGCTGTCTTTATCCGTTATGAGCTGTCTTTATCCAGTTCAGAAAAGGCAACTGTGAAGATGTCTAGGTGCACAAGTGTTGAATATATGTGAGAACTACCCTCCGCACAGCTCTCTCAGATATGCCACGGCTGTGGCGCTGAACTGGTGGAAGTCAGATGGCAAACTAGATTGGAAAACCGCTCCTCATTACAACTAACCTTGGTTTTTATCTTGGATTTTGGATGTAGTCGAATAGTTATCCTTACAATTTTATTCTCTTCTTTTTTATTTGTAATTCAGGGTGCGAATGGAGAGCTGCATCACAATGACATAGCTATAATTGCTGAAAGAACTGAGCTAGTGTTTTCGCCCAGTAGTGAACAGTGTCCTCTGGACATACGGACTTGCTCAGACTTAGGTTGGGGAACTCTGCACCTCATCCTATTTCTCTCTGTAGACTTCTTATTTTCTTCTATTCTGCAACAAGTAGATGATGAACACTGTGGAGTACAGTTGCCCCTCCACTACCCTCCCACAGGAATACACAAGCAGTATGACAGTCTTTTGTTAAACAAATTACTGAATGATTTGTTATAGAAGCATACACATTATTTAATGGGAGAAGAAATTCCAGGTCTGTTACTAAATTTCAGCAAAGGAGAAAAAAAGGGAAGAGAGACATTTTTAATTAAATTTAGAATTGGAACATATAATCAGAGGAGTAGCTTTCTGAAATCTACTACTGCCATTCATTCAACATTATTAAAATGGGACGTATAATCAGGCTATGATATAAAACACTAATTTGAATGCAAATCCTGTTTATATGCAACAATTTACCAAATCAGGACCACTAGTCCTCATGTTCTCAATCAGTTCTGAGAAGTGTGTCTGTATGCAAATGCGGTTGCATACAAGTAAATGAGCTCAGATTAACAGCACATTACATTAGAGTTCCCTTTGCAAGCAATAAGCGGACAGTGGTTACAAAAGCCTGCCTTGTAGCATCTGAAATCTGTCAGCACCTTTGCATGTACAGAAGTGTTAATATCTTTGCCCCTCTAATATATACAGTGTGTAAAACATTTCGAACCATAGAAATGTAATTGCGCTTTCCTTAAATATAGCATTCATCTTTTTTTAAAAAGGTTTAATTTGACATTTATTGTTAATTACATTGCTTAAGTGCCATGTGCTTCTGTGTATTTTCCCTTGCTCAGAAACACCACGAATGCTTCTATGTAAATTACTTTAATCAATCACTCTGTTTATGTGACAATTCATAATCAAAATACCAGATACGCATTTTGAGTAAGGGTTCCAAATAGCAAGTTAAACCCAAGGTAGAGCATAGAGATATAGATGGCATTTCTGCTGAGGAATGAAGCCTGAGCATCTCTGTGCATGAGGCAGAAATGACAGAATATTAGCACAGAAGAGGGATTGCTACTTGTGGTTTTGAAGTAATCCTGGTGTTTGGTAAATAACAGAAGATATTATTTATTTGTTCTTATTAAGAGGAATACATGCAGAGTTTCAATCAAGCAGCACTGCAGGTGCAGACTTGGCAGCAGC